CCTATAAGGTACTCCTTGAAAGAGCATGCTTTGTTGACCGGGTTGGACTGCCATGAGTACCCAAAGAATCATGAGAAGAAGGGTAGTTTGAGGTTTGTCAGGAGGATGTTTGGGAGGACAGACCTAATCAAAATCAAAGATGTAGAAAAGAAGTTGGCAGCTATTAAGAGTGAGAAGTTCTTGGATAGGAAGAAGTTGATTATTTTGTTGTTTTTATGTGCGGTTGTGAAGGCTGATTCTAAGGGTGATGGGAACATAGAGAAATTCCTGTTAAGGATTGTTGATGACGTTCATGCTTGTGAGACATTCCCGTGGGGAAGGTATTCTTTTGAGCAATGTATGACAGGGATCCGGAGAATGATGAAAAACATGAAAGGTTCGGTGAAACCAAAAGCACAGAGCAGCTTTTTTGGTTTCATCACTCCTCTTGAGGTAAAAACTTGTGAATATTGTAATGAGTTAGAGTGTTTAAGTTATAGTAGTAAAACTGTGTTATTGTGAATGTGTAGATTTTTGCATTTGAGTGCATACCACAGCTTGGAAGGCGATTCAGAGAAGTTGTTCCCGCAGCTAATGACTGTCCAAGAATGTGCAAATCTAAATTCACTGACAGTTGCATGAAGGGCTTTACCTTGGATGAAATAAACCAAGCCCTTGGTGAAATTAAGGTTAGCTTTTGGTGCCTTTACTTCTCTTAGTATGCATATGTATTGAGATTGATGCTATGTGTATTTTGACAGGATATCTCAAGCATCTTGGAACCTGATATGGATGAGAAAGAGATGTTGTCTGGCCTTGTTGAGAAAGATGTTGATGAAGGGATGGGATTTATTGATCCAGTTGTTGAAGGTTGGAGAGAGCAGCTGATCAGAAAGAAGAAGAAAATCTGGTGGAAAAGTCTATACCAGATGGACTTGCAGGCTCGGGGTTTTGGTGATGTTGTCCCTGAAGTGGCTGAGAGGCTTGGTGATGTTAAAGAAAGTGATGGTGAAGTCCCTGAGAGGCTTGGTGATATCCTCTCATTACAGTCAGCTGTGGACAAAGGATTTGCGAAGATCATGGAGAAGTTGTCTGAGATGGATAGCAAAGTGAGTATGCTGGATGGGAGAGTGAAAGACTTAGAGGGTTATGTGTCAGTCCAGCGAGGGAAAGAGCGGTACAATGAGTATCATCCAGGGACTTCAAGTGATTTTGTGCCAACCTATTGTACACCAACTGCTAATCAACCAATAGCGAGTCCGACAAAGGCTTTGGTCCTTCACAGTGGTTTCACAGACCCTAAGCCAATCCAAATTCAAGAATTGAGTGAGTTTACATTTTTGTAGTTTTTATTGTAACATACATGTTCTAACATTGGAGTTGTGTAGGTGATGAAGGTGATCAGGAGCAGCTGGCTAGGAAAGAGAAGGAGAACAAGAAGAAGAAAGCAGTGAGGCCGAAGCATAGTGGCCCTACAATCCAGACCGGGAAAAAGAGACAAAGGAAGGCTTCCAGGTTTCAGGCTGAAGAGTTTACAGCAGAGGGGAAGGGGAAGGGGAAGAAGCGGCAGAAGAAATAGGTGATCTTTATGAGAGATCACTCTTTATGATGGGTTGCTTTTGTGTAGGACAAAACTTATATTTTCTGAGTATTTTGCAGTTATCTTCTATTAGGATTCAAAACATTGTACTATCTTTTGGTTGTGTTGTGGTTTAGGTGCATTTTATGTATTTGGGGTTTATGATGAATCAGACATTATATTTTAAAAAATTATGCATCTGGTCCAACTACTAACAAACGTGGGACAACTACTAACACAAGTAGGACAACAGGAACAACTACTAGTAATCCTGGGACAACTATGTGATGAACCTGGAACAACAGGTTCAACTGGAACTAATCCAGGGACAACTGGTACTAATCCAGGGACAACTATGTGATCAACCAGGGACAACTACTAATAAAACAGGGACAACTATGTGATAAATCAAGGACAACTACTATTAAAATTAATTTTAAATATTAGTTGGACCAGTTGATCCAGGGACAACTACTAAAAATCCAGGGACAACTATATGATAAACCAGGGACAACTACTATTAAAAATACTTAGTAAATACATATAAGTCGGAGTTGTACCGGTTAAACCAAGTACAACTATCATTACTGCAGGTACAACTACTAATAAAAGACTTCATGAAAACACAAATACATATCCAAAATACAAATTCAAATATTACAAAGACTAGGTGGTAATCATACAATATTACCAACTTGAAAGTAACCCCTTAAGCCTCGCAATCTCGACTTCTTTTGTGGCTAACCTCGCTTTAAGGGCATCAATTTCTTCACGCATAAGACGAAGAGTTTCTCGGATCGACTCCAAAGCAGGTGGAAATCCAGCCCTCGCAGATTCAAGAGAGGTTAAAACGTCAAATCGTAGGTTTATCTTGGACAGCTCCTCAGTAACCGCACAATCCCACCACTGAACTAGGTGATCTCGATTAACCTTATATTCGTCTCCATCCTAGGAAGAATATAAAAGTTCAAAACCAGCAAGTTGTACTTAGTTGTTCCAGAATTGCAACTAAACCATACCGTAAGCAATGGGCATCTGTATACGCGCTCGCCTTGTCGCTGTCCTGTTATACACCGCTCAAGCTTGACCATTAAACCGCAGAAACACCTCTTCGGAACACCATAATTGGCGTCCGCATTTCGGCCTCCACTATTGATACTTTCTGCGGATGTGGAGGGTTGGGAGTAACTATAAGGCATATCTACGGTTTAGAAGATGAGTAGATCTGACCATTCAATCAAACATAAATCAATTAAATCATAGTAATCCGAATTAGTAGAAAGCAGATCTATTAAATTGAAGTAGTCTAAGAGAATTGCCATACCTTATAACGGCGAGAGAAGGAAGAAGAAGAATAGATCTGAAAACCCTAATTTTTGGGTTTCTCGTTTACAATAACAGAAGAAGAAGAGAGAAGAAGATATGTGAGAGAAGTACCCAGATTTCGCAAAATTTGAAGAAGTCTGAAAACCCTAATTTTTGGTGGTCTCGTGAAGAAGAGAGAAGAAGAAGAGAGAAAAGAAGAAGAAGAAGAATCGGAGTCGAGATGTGAGAGAGAGAGAGAGAGAGAGAGAGTAGACTTATTAGGATGAGAAGATTCGAATTAAAGTAGATCACGGGGTGGGCCCGGTTTGAGTCAAAAACTAGTCAAAGACTAGTGTGAACACATTTCTGTGGGACCCCCGACAAATAGATTTTCTACATAGTTGTCTTTAGATGTTCAGTTGTCCTAATTTCCTCACAGTTGAACTATTTCTAAATTTGTAATTTTGTAGTTGAACCTTAGAAAATACCATAGATATCTAGTTGTTCACATAAATTTCCACATTATATTGGTGTTTAAGAAGTTTTCATAGAATAATTTGTCAGAAATCATAGTTTCCATACTTCTTCCATCTTTATAGATGATCTTGAACTAATTGTTCCTTGTTACCTAAAGAGTGATTTGTGTAATTTTGGTTTTTGCTCACATTAATTATTTATAATGTTACATATCATATATTAAATACATATATTAAATACATTAAATGTACTTACAGAGTTTAAAAATGTTTTAATCACTTATTATGTTTTAATTTATGTAATTTTGTATTTTTTTGTAGTTTTAGTTGTTTCCAGTTGTATCGGTTGAACCCAGAAACCATTCTTGCTAATATTGTAAAGAAATAAAATAGTTTATATTACAAACTTATAAATAATAATCCATATATTACAAAGCGATATTAGTCTTACAAATAAAAATACAAGTACAAAGTTGTTTAAGTTGTTCCGGTTGAACCCAAATGGTTACACAGTTGTTCCAGTTGAACCCAAATGGTCCAGTTGTTCCAGTTGAACCGTATTGGTAAAGCAGTTGTACCGGTTGAACCAGGGAATTAATCAAGATGCTTCTGGATCCTCGGGCTGTAGCCATCTCTCCAAGTTAATTCCTGGAACAGCTTTGTTACTCTTTCTCCGTTTTTCTCCAACAGATGGAAACCGTTTATCTTGATTGCGTCCTTTTTTTGGAGTGTAATCCGGCGGCTCAGCCTCCAACTCTTTAACTGACTCGGGAATATTCCATTCTGACTCATGTGGCACTACAAACAACGTCCTGTAATATGCCAATGCCCAAGTATCAATCAAATAAAAGACGGAGCAAAGTCCATATATGCTTACATCTGCATTTCTCCCTTCCTTGCGGGCTAGGAACCTTGCTGCGGCAATGGCATGGACACACGGATACTTGTCTATATCAAATGTCTTGCAAGAACAAGTTTTCATTTTCAAATCCACCAAAAAGCTTACCGACATCCCATCAATGACGTTGTATTCTTGTCTATAACTGTTAAGCTCAACAACTTTTAACTTCGCAGCAACTAAACATCGAGCATGCAATATGTTCTCCACAAAAGGCACAACCTGTGATGTGCTCGATGCATTACCTGAATCTTGCCTATGGTTGTTAAACCATTCAGAGAACTTCTCAACCATGGCATCAATCATAGGTAAGAGGTGATACTTCCTCGCTTTCTTAAACACAGCGTTCATGGACTCCGCAGCATTGCTAGTGTCTATGTTGTACTTGTCTCCTTGGAAATGGTACCTAGACCACTGCTCTCTCCCTACGGCTCTATCTAAATAGTCAGCAGCATTAGACCACCGACTCCTAAAAATACCATATTCTCTATTGAACTCACTCTCAGTATAAGCATGAGCGCACTCCAAGAACTTCTTCGCAGCTCCATCCTTATCAGTCTTTGCACGGAGTCTTAGATTTTGAGACAAATGCCATATACAGTGTACATGATGCGCATTCGGGTACACCGTCATGACAGCCTTCTTGATGCTTTGATGCCTGTCACTAATAAACACCAAATCAGGAACTTCTGGATATACAGTTTTCAGCTTCTGGAAAAACCAAATCCAACTATCATCCTTCTCCGCATCAATTACACCAAATGCAAGAGGATAATGGTGATGATTAGGATCTTGAGCTGTTGCAATAACCAACATCCCACCATATACAGTTTTGAGATGAGTTGCATCCACAATTATCACTTTCCTCATTGCCCTGAAACCTTCAATGCTAGCTCCCAAAGCGATGAATAGGTACTTGAACTTCTTCTCTTCCAACTCCACACTTGTTACAGTCCCTCTATTTACCTTCTCTAACATATAGAGATAAGAAAACAACATCTTGTAGCTTTTTTCTGGTCCACCTCTCACTTCACTAACATGCTGCATTTTCCCTCTTAATGCAGTGGAGTATGAACAATGCACACCAAGTCTTCCTGTCACAATAGACATGATGCTTTTTGGATTTGGGGTCTGTAGATTACCTGGAAAGTCAGCATGTAAAACAGCTGCTATTAATCGTGGTGTTCCTCTCTGTACACTATTGCTTGTAGACTCAACAGACCGCGAGCATGTATGGATCTTTCTATGCACTCTAACACTCCAATAATCTGATTGCTTTGTTCTCGCAACTCGTAAATACCATTTACACCCTTGAGAATATTGTTTGCATCGTAACATAAGTCTCAACGGGTCAGACTTAATTGTTAAAACCCCATAAACTAATTGTTTTGCAGCTTTGTTTACCAATTCCCATAGTGCCTCCTTAGAACAAAATTCTTGATAAAGTTCTATACCCGTACCATCTTCCCATTCTATATTCTTTGGAGTACCTTTTACACGATTTGGAATAGCTGGAATATCATCAAAATCAAACATACCATCCACATCTTCATCCAAATGGTTATCCATCGACCTTTCCACAGCCACAACTTCCATACCTGTCACATTCGCACACACTTCATTCACCATAACTTCATTCACCATATCTTCATTCACCAAAACTTCATTCACATCATTCACCAAAACTTCATTCACATCATTCACCAAAACTTCATTCACATCATTCTCCAAAACTTCATTCACATCATTCTCCAAACCTTCATTCACATTCACTAGCTCTACATAATTCACACCAACTGAACTTCGACGCTCCGGTACTAACACTTCCACCCTCTGGTTATTGTCACTTAATAGCTCCACATGCAAAACTGGAATACGACCCTCTTCATCACATTCTGTTAAAAAAATGTATACGTCCTCATCATCTACAATATATGTCTCTCTCCGAGCTTTAGATAGATTGTAACTCAGTCTCAGATTCCCAGGGACTCCATTCTGGCCAACCTTCGTAGTGATCTTATCTAATAGCACCGAATAAGTTATCTTCTCTAAACATGCCGTCTTAAACGATATAGCGTATAGTGAATTTTTATAAATCCACTCATTCCCTTCTGAATAGTACCCTCCATAGTCAAAATGTACGTTAGTATGGCTCTTCTTCTTCATCGCCTCCTGTAATTACAACAATTTAAAACATAATTACAAACACAATTTGTCACAGTTATACTAGTTGTACCAGTTGGCCTATACATTTGGACTATACTCTAACAGTTGTACCAGTTGACTATGCAGGGTACTATCCTGAAAATACAACAATCAAAAACAGCACATACACCATTTTCCACTGTTATACTAGTTGTACCGGTTGGCCTACATACTATCAGTTGTACCAGTTGGCCTACATACTATCAGTTGTACCAGTTGGCCTACATACTATCAGTTGTACCAGTTGACTATGGAGGGTACTATCTTCAAAATACAGCAATTAAAAATAGCACATACACCATTTGAAACAAATATTCTAGTTGTACCAGTTGAATAATTAAACATAGTTGTACCGTTGGCCTATCAGTTGTACCTGCTGACCTACAAACTATCAGTTGTACTAGTTGGTCTATAGTCTATCAGTTGTACCAGTTGAATACGTAAACGTAGTTGTACCCTGTAAGAACTTTCTCTTAGCTATACCAGTTGACTGAGATCTGACGAATTCGATTCTACTTAAAATGTGACTTCATTCAACAATGTACGGGCTACACTCGATTCTAACCAATGCCTATACCTCCATTCGTCAATATACTATCGATTCTTCCAAAAAAACCCAATTCTCATTCAAATCCCTAATTTTAAAGATTTCCAAAATACTCTTAAATTACCTACAAATCAATCAATGCAGCAATGAAAAGAGGATACATGACAAGAAACTAACCGATTTCGAGAAGGAGGAGGCGTCCGTTCAACCGTACTTGCAGATCGGCGATGTCGAAGTTCGGAGCTGTGGCGGAGGAGAAGAACGACGCGGGTTCGGAGGAGAGAGAGAGAGAAGGACGAGAGAGGAGAGAGAGAGGAGATAAATGTTTTTCTTTTTTCTTTTTCGATTTTTTTTTCATTCTTTCATTAAGGGTAGTTTGGTCAGTTCACATTCTCGGTGGCATGCAGATTATTTGATGGCATGCCAGATTTTTTTTTCGTCAAAAGTGGCATAAGTGGCAAAAATTCTGCAAATAGTGATGTCAACAAAAATAAAGGACTACAAATGGTAAAGAAGTAAAAAATTAGATATTCTAAAAGGCTTCTCTCTTTTACCACACCTTAGAGAGAAGGAGATTTCCGGTTCACCGGAATTCATCCTCCAGTGTTATCCGGTTTTTTGTTTGTTTATAGCTTCCAACTTTTGTTGGATCTTTCTTTCCGTTTTGTCGGATTTAATAATTTCCGGCTTAGTTTTTTCGGATTGTTTTTTGTTTTGTTTTCTTCTCTTTCTATAGGATTTCATCTTGAATCCCGTTGGCTGTCGATTGATTTCTCATGTTTTAACTATCAGCTTGACTCTTCTCAAAAGTTGGAGTAATATCTTCACCACTTTGTCTTCGTCGTTTTGCGAAGTGGACCTCTAATTAGGTCTTCGGTGGAGCTTCCTTCGTTGAGTACGGGTTGAGAGGAAGAAGATTTGGAACCTTTAAGTATGGTAGCAGTGAAATCAATTTCAGATTGGCAGCGAAGGATCTGTAGAAAGAGTCGTGGTGTGGGTTTGTGGAAGTCCGGCGGCGGAGCTGTTGTCTGATCGTGGATCTGGCCAGCGTTGACGTGTCAACATTTCCCTTTCTTACGTGTTCTCCATCGGATACGTGGCACTTTCTTGTTTTATTCTAATCTTTATATTTGGGTTGGGATAAACTGTTGTAATACTCAACTAAAGTTGCAAATGTAAAAGATTTGGGCTTCGACCCACCATTTGTAAGCCCAAGTTTGGGTTTCCTTTTAATGGAAATAGCCGACAAAAAAAATGGTAAAGAAGTAAATGAGTGACTAAAAAAGTCAATTATTTGTGGTTTTTACTATTCAAGTAATTAGCTTAATTTTTTTTTGCTTTTTTGTCGTTGATTTGCTTAACTTTAAAATTTAGACAATCAATTTTTCTACTTTTTAGCAAATACTAAATTATTAATGTATATTTATATAATTATTTTCCTTTTTAGATATTGATAAATACTTTTGAATAATAAATTGTGTTTTTAGTATGTGATCCTCACCTAAAGCATCATTTCTCCTGGGAAAGAGAATGAAAGAGATTAAGTGCATAAATTTGTCATGATCTAAAATATAACGGAGACGGGTCCATGAACAATCAGAAATTTAGCGACATTGATCGAGAGAAACAATAAAAAAAACTCGGATTAACTAACATCAACAACCATAAAAACGACTTAAAGCACCTCCATTGGAAAGTTCTAGTGTAGATTTCTCAAAAAGAAAATAGGAAAATAATTTCTTATTTAAGATACAGATGAAAAACTCATAAAACACTTATTTTCCAAAGAGTGGTTCAATTTCTTTTTTAGATTAAAAGTAAATTATCTTAAAATTCTAATATTTTTTAAATTAGTTTAAGGTCTTCAAAGAGTATCTCTCATGGATCCTCCACGGTATGAACTAATCATGTTGGCCTAGTGCAACAAGGTGACCATA